CACCCGGCTTGCTTGCATGCTGTGAATGAAGAGATGCAGCCAAAGCGGTGCCTGCGGACTGCAGCAGAGAAGGGGGGGAGTGGGGGGGGAGCCGATTGGTTTGGGAGCATCAGCAGCAACACACAAAGGAGGGTGGGAAGGATATTTTGGTTGCACAACAGCCACAAGGACCCAGGCATTCAGGAAGTGCCCTTGCAGCTGCTTTGGCCCAGCCTGCTCAAACAATACCTCGTCGAGCCATCACTGACCCAGGGGGATGACTTCACACAATATCCACATCCACATCCCAGCTAACCAAGGTTAACCCTAAAAAGGCCTATCGTACCCTGCGAAGGAGCTGCTAAGTCTTTCCCTGAGCTGGCTATGAGTGCTGCTCTGCTGCACAAACCAGGGTGTTTCCACAGGCAGTTCAGAGGACTCAGTGCTAAATGGAGCTGCTGAGGAGTAAACTCCAGTGATCTCACTGATTCCTTGGTTGCGTCATCATGTCAGTGGTGACCACATAGATGTGTTTTCTCCATGATGATCTGCCTCCAACCTGGCCCTTCAGGTCTTCTAATGGTACTCCCATTGGCACTGTAACTGAGTCCATCCGCCTCGCTGCTGGTCGTCCTCTTCTTCTCTTTCCTTCCACCTTTCCCAGCGTGATGGACTTCTCAAAGGAGCTCTACCTTCACATTGGTTGATTATGTTCCATCAAGTCAGGGTCAACTCTTAGTGACCACACAGACAGATTTTCTCCATGATGATCTGTCCCTAACCTGGTCCTTCAGGTCTCCCAACTGTACCCCCATTGTCCCTGTAGCTGAGTCCATCCCCCTCGCTGCTGGTCCTCCTCCTCTTCTCTTTCCTTCCACCTTTCCCAGCATCAGAGCCTTCTCCAGAGAGCTGGGCTTCACATAATGTGTCTGAAATAGGATAATTTGATCCTGAGAGATCTCAGTGGATTTTTTTTCAATAAAAAGGCACAGGCTTATTGCACAAGAAGGTCTAATACACTTTAGCTCACTTCGTTGGATGTGTGAGTGAAACATCAGCTAATTGTGCAGCAATTCACTAGGGTAGGCTAAATGGGCTCGGATAGTTTGGGTTCAGTATATTGTAAGAACACCCCACTTCTCACCCTCTTGAGTAAACCAGGCTATCAATTTAAGCCTATATTTTATGTTTTGGCATAGCATGTTAAATGTGACACACAAACAGACTTTAAACTTAGTCATATTGTCTTGTGCCACTTATACATTCTTATGAATCAATTCACATCTGTCTGTTCATCACTGAAGTATTAAAAATGGGGGAATGAATTCATCTCCTATACATATGGGCAACCACATGTTACATTAAACACACAGTTTGACGTTCTGCTAATTTAAATTAAATGAAATGGTTAACCGGAATATGGCATGAGGATATAGTTAAATTTTCAGTCCTGATCCACTCCATATATGTGTGTACGTATGTATGGTGTGTGTGTGGGCGCACACGTGCGCAAAGGCGCTGCACTAGAAGCCAGGAGTCCTAGTCCTGCCATAAGCATGAAGGTTTCTTTTGCTTCTGCTCATTTCCTTAAGAGGTCTCCATGCTCCATGTTGCCCATCTCATAGCCTCTGCCAATTTCTGAGGGTCAGAGCATTTCCTTAGGGCAGTGTTTCTCAACCTTGGCCACTTTAAGAGCGGTGGACTTCAACTAAGACCCTAAGGCAGTGTTTCTCAACCTTGGCCACTTTAAGAGAGGTGGACTTCAACTCCCAGAATTCCCCAGCCCTGCTGGGGAATTCTGGGAGTTGAAGTCCACCCTTTTTAAAGTGGCCAGGGTTGAGAAACACTGCCTTAGTCATTTTCACTTTAGTCAGTTTCCAGACTGTTTTGCTGGTATTCTCCTTTCCTTTCAATTTCCTTTTTCTCACACTTTCCTTTTCTCCATCACTCTCTTCAATCCCTACATCCACTCATTCTGACAGTTCACCAAATCTTATTTTCTAACCTGCAAGTGC